TGCCAAATTGGGGTTAAAGGTAATCTTGAAACAGTGTAGGAGCGGTGTTCCACTAGGGACTTTGCTGTTGATATTATGTGGATATTATGTACCTGCGATGAGGTACTAAGGTGCCCAACTTTACAACTTAAACAATTATGTGACTTGCAAAGTCCTGTGATAGAGTTGTGCCGATGGCAGTTTAGGGTTAACTGACAAAAATAGAATCTGGGGATCCAATTTTGATCGCACCCCAGGGTAAATAGGGAGTAACTGCATTGAAGTAACTATAACAGGACCGCTTGGAAATAGTGACCATAATACAATAGCATTCAACATCCCTGTGGTGGGAAGAACATCTCAACAGCCCAACACTGTGGCATTTAATTTCAAAAGGGGGAACTATGCAAAAATGAGGGGGTTAGTTAAACAGAAGTTAAAAAGTACAGTGACTAAAGTGAAATCCCTGCAAGCTGCATGGGCGCTTTTTAAAGACACCATAATAGAGGCCCAACTTCAATGTATACCCCAAATTAAGAAACACAGTAAAAGAACTAAAAAAGAGCCACCATGGCTTAACAACCATGTAAAAGAAGCAGTGAGAGATAAAAAGACTTCCTTTAAAAAGTGGAAGTCAAATCCTAGTGAGGCAAATAGAAAGGAGCATAAATGCTGCCAAATTAAGTGCAAGAATGTAATAAGAAAAGCCAAAGAAGAGTTTGAAGAACAGCTAGCCAAAAACTCCAAAGGTAATAACAAAATGTTTTTTAAGTATATCAGAAGCAGGAAGCCTGCTAAACAACCAGTGGGGCCCCTTGATGATCGAGATACAAAAGGAACGCTTAAAGACGATAAAGTCATTGCGGAGAAACTAAATGGATTCTTTGCTTCAGTCTTCACAGCTGAGGATGTTAGGGAGATTCCCAAACCTGAGCCAGCTTTTGTAGGTGACAAATCTGAGGAACTGTCACAGATTGAAGTGTCACTAGAGGAGGTTTTGGAATTAATTGATAAACTTAACATTAACAAGTCACCGGGACCAGATGGCATTCACCCAAGAGTTCTGAAAGAACTCAAATGTGAAGTTGCGGAACTATTAATTAAGGTTTGTAACCTGTCCTTTAAATCGGCTTCTGTACCCAATGACTGGAAGTTAGCTAATGTAACGCCAATATTTAAAAAGGGCTCTAGAGGTGATCCCGGCAATTACAGACCGGTAAGTCTAACGTCGGTACCGGGCAAATTAGTCGAAACAATAGTTAAGAATAAAATTGTCAGACACATAGAAAAACATAAACTGTTGAGCAATAGTCAATATGGTTTCTGTAAAGGGAAATCGTGTCTTACTAATCTATTAGAGTTCTTTGAAGGGGTCAACAAACGTGGACAAGGGGGATCCAGTGGACATAGTGTACTTAGATTTCCAGAAACCCTTTGACAAGGTCCCTCACCAAAGGCTCTTACGTAAATTATGTTGTCATGGGATAAAAGGGAAGGTCCTTTCGTGGATTGAGAACTGGTTAAAAGACCAGGAACAAAGGGTAGGAATTAATGGTAAATTCTCAGAATGGAGAGGGGTAACTAGTGGTGTTCCCCAAGGGTCAGTCCTCGGACCAATCCTATTTAACTTATTTATAAATGATCTGGAGAAAGGGGTAAACAGTGAGGTGGCAAAGTTTACAGATGATACTAAACTGCTCAAGATAGTTAAGACCAAAGCAGACTGTGATGAACTTCAAAAAGATCTCACAAAACTAAGTGATTGGGCAACAAAATGGCAAATGAAATTTAAGGTGGATAAATGTAAAGTAATACACATTGGAAAAAATAACCCCAACTATACATACAATATGATGGGGGCTAATTTAGCTACAACAAGTCAGGAAAAAGATCTTGGAGTCATCGTGGATAGTTCTCTGAAGATGTCCGCGCAGTATGCAGAGACGGTCAAAAAAGCAAACAGGATGTTAGGGATCATTAAAAAGGGGACAGAGAATAAGACTGAGAATATATTATTGCCCTTATATAAATCGATGGTACGCCCACATCTCGAATACTGCGTACAGATGTGGTCTCCTCATCTCAAAAAAGATATACCGGCACTAGAAAAGGTTCAGAAAAGGGCAACTAAAATGATTAGGGGTTTGGAACGGGTCCCATATGAGGAGAGATTAAAGAGGCTAGGACTCTTCAGCTTGGAAAAGAGGAGACTAAGGGGGGATATGATAGAGGTATATAAAATCATGAGTGATGTGGAGAAAGTGGATAAGGAAAAGTTATTTACTTATTCCCATAATACAAGAAGTAGGGGTCACCAAATGAAATTAATAGGCAGCAGGTTTAAAACAAATACAAGGAAGTTCTTCTTCACGGGGCACACAGTCAACTTGTGGAACTCCTTACCTGAGGAGGTTGTGAAGGCTAGGACTATAACAGCGTTGAAAAGAGAACTGGATAAATTCATGGTGGTTAAGTCCATTAATGGCTATTAGCCAGGATGGGTAAGGAATGGTGTCCCTAGCCTCTGTTTGTCAGAGGATGGAGATGGATGGCAGGAGAGGGATCACTTGATCATTGCCTGTTGGTACTCTCCCTCTGGGGCACCTGGCATTGGGCACTGTCGGTAGACAGGATACTGGGCTAGATGGACCTTTGGTCTGACCCGGTACGGCCGTTCTTATGTTCTTATGTAAGTTGTTGGCACAAGGGGCTATTAGGTACTAGGATTAATTGGATGAAATTAAAAGGTACAGTTAGACTGGGAATATAGAAAAATTCCAACTAACGTGTGTGTGCTGGAGGGGAGGAGACATCAGGTTACTTTAGTGGTATGAATACAGCAGCATGCTGGCAGTTCCAATCTCAGCTCTGACACTGACTCTGTAGCCTTGGGTAAAACATTTAACTTTTCTGCTCAGTTTCCCCATCCGTAAAATGTGGCTGATAATATTGACCTCACAGGGGTATGTGAGGATTAATAACAGTGAAACCTGTGCCTTTGGTGGCCATTATTATCAGGTTGCATTGTACTTCATGGACCAAATTCTCCACCAGCATATGTGGGCACAACTCCATTGGTTTCAATGGGACCATTTATGCAGATGGTGAACTTGACCCAATATTTGTAACTGAATTGTGTGATAGTATGTATGTGCTATTATTGTTATTTACATTATCTATTGTACTGTGGAATAATCTTCCTGGAGCAGTGTTAGACATCATATTGCTTGATAACGAATCTAGACTGGACAGTATAAACCTGCATTGGAAAATGGATTAATGAGATGCCCTAATAAGTCTTTTCCATGATTTCCTGTCCAGTAGGTCCCTAATAGTAATACTTCTCAATACTATTAATAAGAGTGGCCCAATTGTACAAAGCACTATACAAACACAAAAACACAGTCCCTGCCTTTACAATCTTATTTGTGTATTGTGTTATTCTTCTCTATAGGCAATGCTTCAAAAAAGTCTGAGCAAGATGAACCAGCTTTCTCTCCTGATGAAGAAGTCTTTTAGTTCTGATCCAGAACTTGCAGAGATTAGGCAGCTAAACTGTGCTACTGTAGGGTCAGACAGGATGAAAGAACCAACCACATTTTATTGCCTTTGGCTTATTTTTAATCCATTTCCATAAAGAGTTCTCCTTCTACGCCACACTTACTGACATTATAAATCAATGCATAAATTCAGGAAGGCATTAAACCTGAAATCCAGATAAATGGTGCCTAACTGTTATACTCAAATTATTGTAGCAAATGTGTCAAGTATCATCTTCCATTTTTCATATCTACCCTGAATATCTTTTACAAAACAATACAAATGTTTGCAATCTGGGCCTTCTCAATGAAGTTATGGGGTTGGGGGTTTTTTTTAGGTCTGAAGTGGTTTTAGTGCATTCTCTTTTGATTCTTTCCTAAATAAGGGCACTGCAACTGCAGCAGCCACCCTCAAATCCTCTAACTAGGGCCCATATAGTATTCTAGTCTAATACAGTCCTTATATTATTTTGTAAATCGTATTTTATTTATTACACTAGTGCCTAAGGACCAACCAAAAGTGGGGCCCCATTGTGCTAGGTCCCGTACGAACCCAGAACTGTAGACAGTCTGTGCCCCAAAGAGCTTATACTATAAACAGACAAGACAGGGGCGTGGCAGGACAATCCCAGTCCTATTACCATGGTATGGGAGCACCCTTCAGCAGTGCATGAAGCAATGTGGCAAGCATCTGTCACAAGTGGAACTGAATCTTCCACCTCTGTGCAGCATTCTCAATGATATCAGAATGAAGGCACAATTGTGTTTAGAACCTAATCCTTCTTTGTGTTGCATTGGTGTACTGAGAGGGAGAGGGCACAAAATGCCTCTTTCTCCCACAGTGTGCCGATAAAACAATAGAGCTACAGTTTCAACCTCGAGCTGAGGAGAGCACTAAAATGAAGGCCCTGTTACAACACTTGCCAGTGTATCCCACTCCAAGGGATACATGTTCTGCTAGCTGGAAGACCCAAGTAGGCCCTTAGTATGTATGCTGCAATGTGAAGCATTTGCTAATTGGTGATCCAAGCTGCCCCCCATGGCAACAGTAGCAAAGTGCTCCCAATCATGTGTTTTCCCCCAAACATCCTGAGCCATCCTGACCCACACTTGCAGGATGGCTTTGGGAATTCCTGAGTGTCCAGCATAATTCTGTTCTGTCCCTCCACTGAGTAATTAAGGCAAATGAGGATGGGATTTAGGTATCAAAAGTATTCACCAGCCTTGACAAGAATTTTGGGCAGGACTTGGCAAAACAGCGCAGTTTGGTAACAAATCAATGTGGATTTACATCTATAGGATCAAAAAAGGTCACCTCTTAGTTACACTACTGGATACAGATGGAAACTGTGTTGTAAATTATGAAGAATGATGCAGTGACTTCGTGTCATGCTGTTAATTCTAACTTCTAAGTGAAATTGCTTTGAACTTCTGACTCTTAAAAATAAAAGGCACAAACTAATAACATGCATTTTCCTGCAGACTTGTCATTCAAAGAAGTAAAAAATGGCATCAACAGCACACATCTCAGAGGAAGAGATGACAGACTTAAGAGAAGCTTTCAATAAAGTCGGTGAGTACAGTTAGCATGTAACATACAACACTAGGTGAAGTTGTATTGTATCCCTCTGTACTGACCAGCTTCAGTTAAATGAGCCATGCTTTAGTACTGTCATACTGTGAAATGGAAACTATATGAAGTAATGTTCATACAACTGCAGTCCTTTTCAAAGAAAACCACTTTAGCCTGCTGTAGCTTTCTGGAAGTACAGTATTGGCATTCCTTTGCTGAATGAAGACGGCAGAAAGTTGTGAAACAGGTTTTATGAAATAAATTTGAAAACCTTTTTGAAAATGATACATGAAGTATTTTAAAGTATTTTCACCCAAACATTTATTTGAGGCAAATTACTGAGAAGACAAAAAAAGGATTTTTGATATAACATAATACACTGGTTCACATCCCCTAGGGAAACTGAAACAAAGGCAAATTAAAAAAACCTCAAATGTACAGCCCCTTTTCCTTGATCCTTTTGTGCTCTATGTGTGTTTTTAAATTCATATCCCTTTTTCTACTTTTAAGCCCCATTCTGTTTTTCTCTGCTTACACTGGCCCATCTTTCTCCCCTGATTCTAAGGATATGCATTTCTGTCTCTCACAGCTCACTTATTCTCAGCCATTAAGTCCTTTCATTGCTACCAAGCATTTTTCCTCTCCCAGTCCTGATCCTCTCTCTAAGTCCTCTTCTCTCTACTAGTTTCTGTTTCCACTGTGAGACAGACATTGAAAGGACACTCTTCACAATCCCATATTAATCCATACTTCTGTTGCTAAGAAGCAGCCTCAAATGTAGATCCTATGTGGCTTTGCTGCAAATGGCATGGATAATTTCCAGCTCAACTCAGGAAATCACAATATATACTTCTTTGAAATCTCTCTCTGGGCAAATGAAGACTACAAAACAAAATTTGGGACAATATATATATATATATATATATATATACTGAGAGTATAGGAGAGTTTATTACAAATAACAAGTTGCTAGCATTTTCATATGTCAAAGAAAAAATCTGTCTACATGACATCTAAATAGTTTCAACATATAAATCCCCTCATTAAAAATTCCTTACAAATCACAATAGGCTGTGGTACAACTGAATGTTTCATTTTTAAATTCCATAGAATTCTGCATTTTGATGCCATGGGTTGCTGATGGCTAAACATTTGCACGTACAGGACCCTCACCAATATCCAAAGCAAAATGAGAAGCAATGAAAGAATGGGACAATATTGGAATAATCATACTTCTGTTATTATTTGCCTGCTACTGTTCCACATAACATGCAAGGTTACTGTCATAGAAAGAGATTAGAGAAATAAAATTATTTTACTAATTTTTCTCATTTGCGTAATTTGTGCATTCGAGAGCAATTTGTGGATAGTCATTTTGCATATTTTCAGAAATGCTCCTACAGACAGGGTAATCTCTGCCTAACTCACACTCTCATTTTGGGGCTTAATAAAAGAATGTAGTAGGAGAAAACTAATAACTTTTGGTTTTGAGTTTGTTTTTGTTTATTTTGTAAAAACCATTAATTCAGTGTAAATTTAATAAATTCAAACTATAAATACATCCACATATCATGCTGCTACTGTAACATATATCCAACTATCATGCAAATTATTCCTTCTTTTTTTGTTTGATGGTCATTATAAACTTTCCCTGGGGTTGAAAAGGTCACTGCAATTGTTAAAAATAATTTACTATATTTTTGTTATAAGATTAAAAAAATCATTACAAATAATTCACATTTCCTGAAAAAAAAAAAAACTTTTCTGTGCAGACAGGTTCATTAAGCTGTTTTTTTCCTTTACAGACATTGATGGAAATGGTTTCATAAGCAGTTCTGAATTAACAGAGCTGTTCAAAGCAGCCAATCTGCCTCTGCCAGGATATAAAGTCAGAGAAATCACTCAGAATTTGATGGCCACGGGAGATCAAAACAATGATGGCAAAATCAGCTTTGATGAATTTATTGCAGTGAGTAAAATGTTATTTTGGAGAATATCCTCTAAAAAGGGAATTCAGAAAAAAACAGTTTAACTTTCAAAACTAGAGCTGGTCAGGAATTGTTTGTCAAAATGATTTTTCAGTGGTAAATGCAGTTTCCACAAACTGGGACAAAAACAAATGTCAAAGTATTGGAATTTCCTGCAGGATGGAAATTTCAGAATTTCACTTACCTCTGTTCAAAACTTAAACTTCTAAGTGCTTGTCTCCAAAATACAAAGATTGTAGATTTCTAATACTCTTTAACTTCCTATTAATTAGTTAAAATATAAAAAAATTAAAAGGTGCCAATTCTGCAAAGGGAGCCACAAGTGTGAACTCTTGCTTCTGTGCAGAGTGCCCATTCAAGTAATTGTTATTATTACAGATTATTTATTTATTCGATGCCCACGTTGTTTTCAGCTCTGAAAAAAACATAGAGGACAGCATGGTCCCAAGAAACTTACAACCTAAAAGCTCATAGTTTTACTCTAGTTTTATAACTTGCAATTTTAAAATCACTCTATGTATTTTGAAAGGTTTTCCAGGGCCTGAAGAGCACAGATGTCGCTAAAACCTTTCGAAAAGCAATTAATAAAAAGGAGGGGATTTGTGCTATCGGTGGAACTTCAGAACAGTCCAGTGTTGGAACCCAACATTCTTATTCGGGTACGTAGAGTCAATTGATATAGGTAGTAACTGCAACTAAATGGTTCCTTGGAGATCATTTCGTAACTGTCTGTGTGAAAAGCCTTAGGGAATTGCAGTATCGGTAAGGGTGACTTAGAATAGGCATATTTTGGACAAACTGTAATAAAGCTGAGGAGAAGTAAGAGCAGTATTTTGGCCGAAAATGCAACCTCCCTTTTTTAAAATAATTGTTCGGTTCCCAGGTAGAATAGATAAGTAACAGAAAAGGTGCCAAATCACTTTTAATAAGAACTGAGATTTTCATGTCAAGAGAATTGGTAAAAGTTTTAGGCTCCAAATTGATAGGTCTGACCTTTTGCTTGCAGAAGAAGAAAAGTACGCCTTTGTGAACTGGGTTAACAAAGCCCTAGAGAATGATCCTGATTGCCAACATGTGCTCCCAATGAATCCAGACACTGATGACCTCTTCCAGGCGGTTGGTGATGGCATCGTGCTGTGGTAAATACCACCTATGTTTCCCTACACAGTTAGGCCTTGACCCTGTGAAAACTGATGCATGTGCTTACCTTGAAGTACACAAGCAGTTGCATTGCTTTTAGAGTTAGGCATGTGTGTAATTCTTGCAGGATCAGGGCCCTAGTGATTCTCTTTCTCACACATCTTTTCTCTTAAGAGATTATAAGCTTTTTTAAAATTATTGTTTATAATTGGAAAATAGATATTTTATATGTTAAAAGTACTGTCTCTGTCCATTAGAATCAGGGGAGAAATAACGGAGCCAACAGGAGTGAGCCTGAGTAGAGAATGAGTAAAAACTGGGTAAGGACCTCAGAATATAGAACCCAGTGAGTTTTATATACTTATTTGCATAGCTGAAATGTCCTGCATTACACAACATAAGCCAAATCCTGAAGTTCTCACTCAGTCCTTATTCATATACAATTCTTATGTTGGATTAGTTGGAGATTTAGATTAATAAGGACTTCAAGACTTGGCACAATGGAAATTTTGCTTAAGATAAGAATGGAATAACTTAGTAAGGGCTTCAGGAGTTGGTTCCACCTTTTCCATTAAATGATACTGAAACACAACCAACCTGCCTAAATGTGAAGAGCTCTGAGCAGCCCAAGGTTTTATAACTTACTATTAAAGAACTATATTGTTAGATGCAAAGGGAAAATTCCATGTCAATCATGCCCAGTAAACACATGAATGTGTAGTTCTTTTTCTTCTGTATTAACTATGTTTTGTAATAGTAATAAGAAACTTGAGACAGGGAATTTCTAGGGGGCTCCTATCTAGAGGCAGGGCTGGCTCTGGCTTTTTTGCCCCCCCCCACCCCCCCAGCACCGGGGGGAGGGCGGCGAGCCTGCCGTGGCTCTGCTGGCGGCCGGAGCCCCGGGAGGAGGGCGGAGAGCCCGGCCGGGGCTCCGCTCTCCCCGGCGGCCAGAGCCGGAGCGCCGTGCCGCCCCCCTCCAGGTGCCACCCCAAGCACAAGCTTGGTGGGCTGGTGCCTGGAGCCGGCCCTGTCTAGAGGCATGCAAAATATTTGTGATGCAAAAATTATGGTTTTCACATTTTATTGTGAACGTTAAATTCTGCTGAAGTCTGCCTATTTTTTGAGCAAAATTGAGGCCATTTTTGTACAGACTGGTCCATTTTTGAGTGAACATGGCTTTGTGTCAAAAATGTGTGTAAATTTGAGGATTTGGTTGCAGTTGTGGACAATGAAAATAGCTTTTTTTTTTTCAAATTTTGCATAAAATCTTTGGAGGTAGAGGGTGAAAAGCAACATGAAACTGAATATTTTGACATGAATTTTCACAAAATGAACATTTTGAATTTCACACAGGTTTACTTTATTGCCCTTTTTGGCCACTATTCAATATATCTGCTTGTCACCTTCCCTGCCTCCACTGGTTAGGAAAAAGCTGTGCTAAATCTTGCAGTACGTGTGTATATGAGTGTGTGTGTGTGTGTGTGTGTGTCTCTCTCTCTCTCTCTCTCTCCAGCGTTCCTGGACTTTCTAATGCACTAAGCAAGTTCTTGTGTCAATTCAGCCTCTGGATATCTGATCAACATGTCACACTCTGCACTGATTAGGTCTCAACTGGCGTATTGTGTCCAGTTCTGGGTGGCACATTTCAGGAAAGATGTGGACAAATTGGAGAAAGTCCAGAGAAGAGCAACAAAAATGATTAAAGGTCTTGAAAACATGAACTATGAAGGAAGATTGAAAAATTGGGTTTGTTTAGTCTGGAGAAGAGGAGACTGAGAGGAGACATAAGAGTTTTCAAGTACATAAAAAGTTGTTACAAGGAAGAGGGAGAAAAATTGTTCTCTTTAATCTCTGAGGATAGGACAAGAAGCAATGGGCTTAAATTGCAGCAAGGGAGGTTTAGGTTGGACATCAGGAAAAATGTCCTAGCTGTCAGGATAGTTAAGCACTGGAATAAATTGCCTAGGAAGGTTGTGAAACCTCCATCGTTGGAGATTTTTAAGAGCAGGTTGGATAAACACCTGTCAGGGATGGTCTAGATCAGTGGTTCCCAAACTTGTTCTGCTGCTTGTGCAGGGAAAGCCCCTAGAGGGCCGGGCTGGTTTGTGTACCTGCCGCGTCCGCAGGTTCGGCCGATCGCGGTGCCCACTGGCCACAGTTCGCTGCTCTGTGCCAATGGGAGCTGCTGGAAGTGGCGCAGGCCATTAGTGCAGGGGACTGGACTAGATGAGCTCTTCAGGTACCTTTCACTCCTATGATTCTATGATTTTATGATGAAGGTTCAAAATGACTTTGGTGTAGGCAAAGTGACATATTTCTCACTTGCGTTTATTCTTTAATTTACAGTAAAATGATCAACTTTTCAGTGCCAGATACAATTGATGAAAGAACAATCAACAAAAAGAAGCTCACTCCATTCACTATACAGGTACTGAAACATCAATTTATTCTGAGTCTCTGTTATGTAATTAATTAGGTGTAATGCTATAAATTTCATGGCTCTGCACAATGCAGCCAGACACAGTTTGTGGCAAAGTAGGGTACTTGAGCTGCAATTCTGCAAAGATTTATATCCATGCTTAATTTTGAACTTGAGAATGATCCCATTGAAGTCAATGGGACTACTCATGTGCTTATAATTAAGCAAGGTATAAATCTTAGGAGGATCTAAGTGATAGGTGCCTAATGAATACTACAGATGAGATGAAGACAATGACAAATTCAAATATGGGTTAACCGCTAGAATACTAAATGCAGGGGTGGAAGTAACATTAAACACTTACTGGTACAGGGGCCTGGAAGGGACAAGGCCTTGGGCGGAAGGGGCGGGGCTGGGGTCAGCTTCCCCCAGCCAGCCCATCCGCGCTGCTTGGCCCGCATCGCCCCGGGCTCTGGTGGCGATTTAAAGCATCCGGGGCTCCGGTTGCTGCCGCGGTAGCAGCGGCGGTGGCCAGGAGACCCGGGCCCTTTTAAATCGCTGGCCCGTCATCAGCCTGGAGGGGGGCAAAAGGGGCAACGAAGTTAAAGTGCTGCCACAGCAGCACTTTAAACAGAGTCCTTAAAGTGCTGCCGTGGCAGCGCTTTAATGTCAGCTGCGTACAGGCCGGTACTGGTGGCCACTTTTTACCGGTACGCTGTACCGGCCTGTACCGGCCCACTTTCACCCCTGAGTAAATGACACCTGAGTACTGTGATTAAGTGACTTGCCCATGGTCACACAGGAATTCTGTGGCAGAGCCAGAAACTGAACCCACATCTCCTGAGTTCCAGTCTAGTGCCTTAATCAAAAGGTCATCCTTGCTCTAGAAAATACCACATATGTGAAAGATGGCTGAGTTAACGTTGTTGGGCCCTTAGCATTTGCATTTTCTTTTGTGATTTTTATCTGTTCAACCAGCGTGTTGGATTCATTTTGTAACATACATTGCGTGCATGTGTGCACACCTTCATTTTTTAAAGATGAAATTCTGGAAAATAAAATTCTACCTGCCAAGATCTAAATTCAGGTTTATTCTATTTCCTTTACAATAATATGTAGAGATATATCATTCTATATACAGTATATATGTACCTCTGTACCAGGATATAAATAAATATCTACTATATATGTACACATAACCCACCGTAGCCTTCAGTTACTCTGATTAAATGGAACATTAGCCAGGCTCAAGTGAGCTTAGAAGCCATTAAATTTGGTTTCTGTGCTGCAGGCCACATTTTTTCCAGTTTTAATCCTCTTGGTCTTATTGATGCAGCACAGATCAATCCCTGTCAGATTTAGACATGATTTAATCAATATAGCTTATGCTTTAACTTAACCCTTTTACAACTGTCAAATAAAGAGAGGGTGATTATTTTTCAATGCTATAAATTTTTCATTTTATGACAATTTACGCTTTGTGTCCCTGTGTATTTTCTACCTAATCGAATGTACCTCTCACACTCACGGTGGTGAAATCCATGTGATAAATTGCAGAGCCAGGAAACAAATGGCATTTGTCATGCACCTTTGCCTGCCTCACCTGCCCTCTGCCCACTAATCCATCTCCCCAGGGGCTTATTCGAACAACCCAAGCCTTTGAGCAGATTCAAACTGCCCTTTTGAAAAAAGAAAAGAAAAAAAAAAGCCACCTGCCCGAAATGTTTCTTCTTTCCATCCCACCACCTTGATATATTGAAGCTCCTTCTTTCCACCCCACACTCCTCAAAATATGGATTTTCTCTCTCATCCCATATTCCACCAGTGTAAACACCAGAATGAGCAATATCCAGACGAGGACAAGTGAGGGGCTTAAGGTCCAAAGTCTTGTAACACTTCAGGACAAGAAATGGAAGCTTTTTAATTTTGCAAAGGAGAGGTTCCCTGTGCTGCAGAAGGGCACAAGATTTGCTTTTACTCCTGGGAGTTCTAAGCTATCACACCCTAGGCCCTGATCTGAAAAGGGTTATACCTAATTTTGCTCACTATATTTCCACTGAGTTCCCCACCCCCTCTTTAGTTCTCCTCCTCCCTCCCGTCCACTATTTAGTTATTGCATAATAAGAAACCTCTTTCTCTCTCTCTCTCTCTTCAGGAAAATTTGAACCTTGCTTTGAACTCTGCCTCAGCCATCGGGTGCCATGTTGTTAACATTGGGGCTGAAGACTTAAAAGAAGGGAAACCTTACCTGGTCTTGGGCCTCTTATGGCAAGTTATCAAAATTGGCTTGTTTGCCGACATTGAGCTCAGCAGAAATGAAGGTACATGCGGTACACTTTCTCAAACCAGTGCTCTCATCTTTAGAAGTGTTATTTCAATGAGTCCTGTGGACGCTTAGGGCTTGTCTCCACTTACTGGAGGAATTGACGCACGGCGATCGATCCACTGGGGGTTGATTTAGTGGGTCTAGTGAAGACCCGCTAAATTGATCGCCGATCACTCTCCCGTCGACTCCGGTACACCACCGGAACGAGAAGCATAAGGTAAGTCGACGGGAGAGTTTCTCCCGTGGATCCAGCGCAGTGTAGACACTGCAATAACTCAACCTAAGGTACGTTGACTCCAGCTACATTATTCACGTAGCTGGAATTGTGTAACTTTGGTCGACTTAGCCCCATTGTGTAGACCTGCCCTTAGTCAAGTCTTCATTGCCTCTCTGATTCACCCAGTTCTAGTCTCCATAAGCCCAGAGGCCCCAAACTTTCAGTCCAACCAAAATGTGTATCTTTGTCTCCTTACCTACACCTGGGATCAGGAGCACATCATGCTACAGTCAGGAAGCCCTGCTGGTTTCCTGTTCTTCATAGAATCCAGTGCCAAATCTCCCTTCTCTTAAAAATGACACACGCACACTGCTCTCCAACCATATATTTTCCTGCTGCTTCTTTCCCTTCTCCCTGGATTTGATACCCAGTCACCAGCACTTCTTATAACCTTTACCACCACCGCCTCTGCCGTCTCCCCTGAACATATTGCTTGGCTTCTTCATTCTCCCCTCCACACTGCTGTCCTGCTGAGGGCTGGCAGTCCCACTGGTATCTCCAGTTGCAGAGAATGGCTCCATTTTCCTCTCTTTCACTTATTATATAGTGATGGTATCTAGAAGAGGCAGCAAAGCTCACTCTTCTTCCTTGTTCCCAGCTGTTTTTAAAGGCCTCCAGGCTTTCCTTGCAATGAAGAACCTGGCCACTTGTAGAAACAGCTGGAAACAAAGGAGGGAGCCAGCCCCAGGTGACCAGCCAGCTCTGTAAACCACCAGCCATTGCTCCAGAGACTACCAGTGATCCATAAACCACAGCTGGGAATTTCTGGACTATTCATACCTTACTTTCTAAACTGCCTTGCTCTCCATACTGATGCTCTTCGTTCTTCCTGAAACTTAGCCTTTGTACCCTGCTTCACCGCTGCCCGGCGACATCTGTAGATGTTACATGCATGAGACAGTATACTGTAAGCTACAGATGTTACTTTTCTTTGTGTGTTTAGTGTGCAAAAAGCTGGAAAGCATTCTGTGTCACTTGTGAATGAACAATGCTCTAATACATTGTGTTGTATTTTTTGTCTATGTAAAATGTAGCTCCTTAACATAAAATGAAAACCAAACACATTTGAGAATGTATGGCATGTGAAATATAAAAACAAAATTAAAAAGCCAAAATGTAAATCTGCCAGTAGAATAACATTTTTTTATTTGAGCACGGAAGGAGGAAGTGGGGTTTACAATTCTGTGATGCTACAGTTATACAAAACACTGCCCAGAAGAGAGCAAAATGGCTGTAACATCTCTAACAACAAATTACTTCCTTAATAATAAAATAACTGTAGGTTCAAGGGACATCTTTCGCTTTACTTGAGCCTCTCAAATATATAAACACACTGATCTCCCCCATTTTCTTCGGTGGGAGAAGGATCAGGCCCCTGCTCAGTAAAGGAAGTTAAGAAGGATAAATTAAGAGCACAAATATTCCTGTGCATGGTGTTTATTTTTCTTTCAATTTTGTGCTTGCTCAGCTCTGATTGCCCTTCTGCGTGAAGGAGAGAGTCTAGAGGATCTGATGAAATTATCCCCAGAGGAACTGCTGCTGAGGTGGGCTAACTATCACCTGGAGAACGCTGGATGCAACAAAATCAATAACTTCAGCTCAGACATCAAGGTATGAGAAACACTGATCAGCTACAGCAAAAATAACAACCCCAAGCTTCAGCTTTCTCCTCTGGACTGAGCTTGTTCACCTGGAGGTGATGGCTTAGGCCACAATCCTGAAAACACGTATGTGTGCGCTTAACTTTAAGCTTGTAAATAGTCCCGTTCAATTCAATACGACTACTCACTTGATTAAAGTTAACCACGTGGGTAGAGTGTTTCCAGGGTTAGGGCTTTAGGGTATGTCTACACTGCAGCTGGAGGTGAGCCTCCCAGTCTGGGGTAGACAGAGTTGTGTTGGCAGCGCTTGCATTAGCATGCGAAAAATAGCAGTCTGGATATTGCAACACAGACCGAGGCTTGGGCTAGCCACCCAATAACAAATAAGAGTAGGAAGAAAATATGAAAGATTTTGAGCCCAATTCTACAGTCACCTCATGCATAAAATTTCCACTGAACTCAATAGATATTTTTTAACTCAATAGATATTTTTCCTGGAGAAGGGCTGTGGGACCCTCACCCTTACATAGGCAGGCTGGAGAGTTATCTAATGTAGCTAATTAAATCTAAACTATGATTTATGTCACATCAATGTTGGAAAATATAAAGTAGACATTGACTTCAACAGGGCCAGGATTTCAGCCTATGTAACTATTTACTACTTCTAATCAGCTTTGCCTCTTTTATAAATACATATGTTATACAATGAATGTATGCTTACAAGGAAGCATTTGGGTAGAAATCTGGAAACTTCAGTGGAATTACTTGTGCAAATGAAGACAAATCTCAGCAGTAAAGGTTTGCAGGATATCACCTGGAGCCTTTTTCCATGTATCTAAATAGTAACAATTTCTTGGTCTTTTTTTCTTTTTTAAATCTGAATCTTTATTTGAAGGGCTGTATTTATGTTTAAGATGATTTCTGACGTGAGATTAATTTTTTGTACACATGGAACCAACACTATGCTTTATAAAGATGAAAGTAAACAGCATGTGAAATCTTTGTCTTCTTCTAGCCTTTTCCTGAAAAAATGCTTGTTAACTTGTGTCAGCTTTAATGTCTGTCCTTGAAAACTTTACTTTGTACTTTGTGACCATTTCAACGTTTCTTTAAACTCTGCTTTAAACTTCTGCTTCCTCCTTCTGTCTGTTCTTTTACTAAACCTTTAGCTGACTGACTTCTACAGCCTTATAAAGGTATATTTTTCATATCTCTAATTTAATATGTTCATATTAAATCAATTCTATCCTTTTTTCCTAAATGCAACATGCAGTATTGTGTCTAATGCTTCCAGCTTTTCCATATTTAACGTTTTAATTACTTTATAAAACAAACAGATATGCAAACCAGAAGGCATACAATGGAAACTGTTAAATGCTTTCAGCTTGATTAATTTAATTATGTTGTCAAATGGTTGCTGTAATAAAAACAAAGCATGCTTGCTCATTGTTCGTCGGAAGTATTGGCATGCAAAACCTGGCTTTAGATGTGACTTTTCCCCCCTTTAATTTCTTGGTCTGTTGCAGGACTCCAAAGCTTATTACCATTTGCTGGACCAAGTTGCCCCAAAGGGAAATGAAGAAGGTATTCCAGCTATTGCTATTGACATGACAGGATTGAGGGTAAGATGATACACACTTATACACTAACATTCCTAGAACCTAGGATGCACTGTAATACCTAAACAAGCAAACTAGATTTACCATTGGAGCGTAATCCTGCATTCAAAAACCAAAAATGCAGAATTAAATTGATATGTGATAACAAACTATCTTCCAGCATGAGTTATCACAGAAGCTTTAAAAGCCAATGAACCAGCTAGACACATTAGCAATACTTTGCCAATATATGTTTACGGACATTTTTCTGGGTTATTTCTCAAGCTTATCCTGTGTGTTAAGATTTATCTTAAACATTCGTTTTAATGTCGCATGGTGTAGCACATTGATTTTAGTGAAAAGCAATTTGCAGATATTGACGTGATTTGTAATGTGGAAAAGGAAAATGTTATGGATTTAAACAAGAATGTGTTGTAGTTTTTACAGCATCAGTATGAAAAGAGACAGCACGTTCATGTGTATTATGAGTGTGATATTTCAGTGCTATTGGATGTCAACATATTTGCATGTTTTTGCTGACTGACGCGTTTGATATCTCCTAGGAGAAGGATGACATCCAGAGGGCAGAGTGCATGCTGCAGCAAGCAGAGAGATTGGGCTGCCGGCAGTTTGTTACTGCCACAGATGTAGTCCGTGGCAACCCCAAGTTAAACTTGGCTTTCATTGCCAACCTATTTAACAGATATCCTGCCCTCCAAAAACCAGAGAACCAGGACATTGACTGGAGTTCTATTGAAGGTAAGAAAAATACAAATAAGAATTGGCATCCAACTGAGGCCTCTGACTTTTAACATGTAACTGAGACCTGGTTGGGTAATTCAGCTGTTAGCTCAACTTTTTCCTGCCATGTACTTACTGCAACATTAGCCAAGGCAGGTTTGAGGATGGGATATTGCTGTGTGTTACTTGCATGTGGCTTCAGATATAGTTGGCTCCCTTCACTGTAGGTGTATTTGTTTGAATGCACTGTGGCTTTATGCCTCCTTGGTTTGTCTAGACTAGAATTCGTGGTCCTGTTTAAATTAGAGTTAATGACTAGGGAGGTTGTGGAATCTCCATCATTGGAGATTTCTAAAAGCAGGGTTAGACAAACACCTGTCAGGGATGGTCTAGATAATACTTAGTCCTGCCATGAGTGCAGGGGACTGGACTAGATGACCACTTGAGGTCCCTTCCAGTCCTACAATTCTATGACTCCACAAATGGTAGTTCCAGTTTTGTGTCCTGGAACAAACATTTATGGGATGTCTGAACTAGCATTTATAATTGTATTTGTCAATTAACTTGATTTAACTAACAAACAGTTAAGTTAAAACAAGAGCAAAAACTCTAGTCTAGACAAATCTCTTATGGAGTTATTATGAGAAAGGCACAGTTTGCTTTGTTGCACATCAGATCTCCTTTCTGAGCAAAGTGAGTTCTTGTCTTCTGTGGCACTAGAGCCACCTAAGCTTATTGACTTTAATGACTTCAATATCTGTGTGGCTTACAGTTATTGTGAGCTGACCTTAGTTCTTTTATCCAGTATGACAACTTGGAAATGTCCATTATAAACTTATTTCCTTTGTATGTAAACCTCCTAAAAAATTTTTGTTTGGACTGAAATTTCCTGCTTGGTCTCAGCCCAAAGTTGAATTTTTCTGGGAGGAGGTTCTGCTTGGAGATTTTTAAGTTAAATGAGCAGAAAAAAAGTATAATTTTCCCTCTTTGCTAATATTTTAGAGATTTTTTCTGTGCACAAATAACTCACAAACATCTGAATGCAAAACTTTAAACTTTGCATGTGTCTAGACATCAATCAGCAACAGTCACTGATAGCTTTTTGAAGAATTCTAAAATATAGGTAAATTATAATCAATGAAAAGCAGGCTTTTGCACATGCTCAGTGTGACACTTCTATTAAATATTGTTGTGTAGCTGACAACAACAACTAAGGAGTTCTTTAAATGCAATTTCACCAGTCTGCAGTAGCAGCGCAGTTTTGCAAAGTGCTGATCTTTCTAGCCCAATGCAGCAAAAAACCTAAATTGTGTGCTCAAAACTAAGCATAAGCATATGAATTTCTTCACACACTGCACAGTTAACCTGTGGTACTCTTTGCCAGAGGATGCTGTGAAGGCCAAGACTATAACAGGGTTCAAAAAAGAACTAGATAAGTTCATGGAGGATAGGTCCAACAATGGCTATTAACCAGGATGGGCAGGGATGCAAAACCATGCTCTGAAGTGTCCCTAACCTCTGTTTGCCAGAAGATGGGAATGGGCAACATGGAATGGATCACTTGATGATTACCTGTTCTGTTCATTCCCTCTGGGGCACCTAGCATTGGTCACTGTCAGAAGACAGGACACTGAGCTAGATGGACCATTGGTCTGACCCAGTATGGCCGTTCTTATGTTCTTATATGTTCTTATGAGTAGTCCTATTGAAGTCAATGAGATTTTTGTGTGTGCTTAAAGTTAAGTAAGTGCTTTGCTGGATTGAGGAAGAATGCTCAGCTCCATACAAGATCAATCTCTTATGTGGTGTGACTGCAGACGGCAACTCATCATAAATCTGTATTTTCAATTGCTTCTAACTTTCTCACAAAGCTCATGCTGAAATGTCTCATGATTCGACACAGACTAAAGTTGAATTTCTTAAGTAAGTTTGAGAACAATCTGCTCAAATATGACAGTCCATTTGGTATGTACAGAACATTACCTACTGTTCTGTACTCTCGTATTTCACTGTCTGTTGATATTTCATTCTACATGTCATTTTAGTATACAGTAAAATCTGCATTTATATTTTCCTTGTTGTAAAATGTTTATTTCACTGAAGTGTTGTCTTGAGGATCTGCTGATTGATATTCTGTTATTTTAGGTGAAACAAGGGAAGAGAGGACATTTAGGAACTGGATGAACTCCTTGGGTGTTAGTCCCCGTGTCAATCATTTATATAGGTAAGGAAAGTTATCCTTCCTTTAGATGACTAATGTGATCTACATCTTAAGAAAAAAATATTTCTAGAAAACATGAACACATTGCTAGTCCTTATGAAAACAGATGCCTCTGTTTCATTCTTTAGGAAAATGTGATTCGTTCTACTAATGCTTAAATTAGAATCATAGAATATCAGGGTTGGAAGGGACCTCAGGAGGTCATCTAGTCCAACCCCCTGCTCAAAGCAGGACCAATCCCCAACTAAATCAACTGGATTCCTTGCTCACATTATAAGTCACAATATGTTTCCATTGTTTCAGTGACCTGTCAGATGCCATGGTTATCTTCCAGCTTTATGAAAAGATTAAAGTGCCGGTAGACTGGAGCAGAGTGAACAAACCACCATACCCTAAGCTGGGTGGTAACATGAAGAAGGTAAAAAAAAATTGGCATGGTTCTTATGAGGATATCTATTCCATTTCATCTACACTACTGCTTAAGTCGATGTAAGTTACATCGCTCGGGGGGATGAAAAAAGCTTACATCAACCTAACTCTTCTGCCTCTCAGGGAGAGCGATCTCCCATTGACTTATTGTGTCTTCACCAGACCCACTAAATTGACACCGCTGCATTGATTGCAGTGGCGCTGATTTAGCGGGCCAGTGTAGACAAGCCCATAGAGAGCAATAGACCCATACATAGCCCCATTCATTACAGATTGACTATGCACATGTTTGAAAATGGAACTGAGTCCTTAATCAACAAATTACAAAGTGTAAAGTCTGATTTGCCTTTGTTACTGTGGGTTACATTTTCAAAGAATTCTCAATCTGGCCTCCTTTTGTGTGTATGTAATTTTGCACCTGCAGACACTTGCATCTGTATTCTTTCGAGTGCAAACAATAGCATGTAGCATCTGCATGTGACAGATGATTGTGCTTAAAAATGTCTGTGTAGGGACTTGCATGTGCCAGCAGACATTGTTTTCAAGTCATAAGTAGATCCAACCAAATTATATTTTTATAGTCTAATCAGTGTCTACTTTCCATGAGTTTCCTAATAAATTCAACAATGTTTCACAAGCTGGATGGATGGTCAAACATTATTTGTGATATCAAGAAACTTGACATTTTTCTATCAATCTTTAAAAATGTATTAGTGAATAATTTTTCCCACTATCCAATTCGCTCTAATCACAAGTCCCGATATATGTCCATGATGAGTCATGTGACACCCACATTAATTCCAGCCCTCCAGATCACCTCCACCACATGAAAGAAATAAGCAGATTTTAAACATTCCTGACACAGATACCTGACAAGCTGGTTAAGAGTTCCCCTCTGAATCTCCACTAACTACCCAGCTTTCTCCCAGCTCTACCACAGTGAGGAATTTTGGTCCGGAACATTCCCATACTATTTGTGTGAAGCAGCACAAGATGACTAAAGGACCTAAAACATTAATACTTACGGACTGAAAACCTCAGTTATTGTCCCACACAATCACTCTGCGCTGCTGGAGGTGGGCATGATTGCACAATGCTGTACACTGTGTCTCCATATGTCCTGGTCTGTGTGATGGCATTTAGGCTCTGATGATATACAATAGCATTTCTATGTTAGATTTGTCTAAGCTGCCTATCCTCATAGTATCTAAGGGCCAGATCCTAAAACAGCCAAACCCCTGTACACATATTGACCCCCATTGGATGGAGCTGCTGCCTGGATCCATTGGCAGGATCTGGCCTAAGTTCCTTGTAACAATTAAAGATAGCATGAATGCCCTGAACAGCAACTGTTTCACATTTACGAAGCACACTAACTGACTCTGTCATTAACAGCTTGAAAACTGCAACTACGCAGTGGATCTGGGAAAGAATCAAGCCAAGTTTTCCCTCGTTGGAATTGCTGGGCAGGATCTCAATGAAGGAAATCGCACACTAACCCTGGCCTTGATCTGGCAGTTAATGAGAAGGTACGCTAGTTGAACATATACATACTGCTGTTCTGGTATGGAGAGATTCCATGGAAATGGGGTGCCAGCACTCACCACTGCACAGGAGGATCAATACCATTATTATTATTCCTATTGTCTGTATTGCACCATAAGTGTTCCTGGCCCTCCACAGACAATAATTAAAAGGCAGGTCTTTGCACCAAGAAAGGAGAGAGAGAAAACATTGGAAGGTCAAGGGCTGAAACAGTGGTTAAAAGTCCTGATCTTTGCTTTCTGTTATGGAAACACCTTGTTAGATCCTTTAGGGATGTCATGGATTTTCCATCCCTTACAGTCTGTAAGTCAAGACTGGGTGTTTTTCTGAAAGCTAGGCTCTAGCTCAAACTGAAGTGTTTGGCTTGAAGCTAAGGGTGAGGTTCTACGGCCCATGTTACGTAGCAAGTCAGACTAGATGATCACAATGGTCCTTTCTTGCCCTAAAATCGACACATCTATTATTATTTTTAGATACTGTGGTCCTGAGTCTCCTTTGCACCACTCAAGCCATATAAAAGGGCCTTAGCACATGGGAGTAAATGTAATTTGTACCTATTCTGAAGCCCCTTGATGCTGCCAGAGCAGTGTTAAGGGGCCATACTGTAAATGAGAATCAGCCCTGTACTTTGTATTGGTTAACTTAACATGAGGGAACAGAATCAGGTGTGAGTGAAGACTGCAGCATTTGGCCCTTGTCAGGTTTCACAGATACACTATGCTACAATGCCAAGCTTTTTATAAAGCATGAAGTAGTAGACAGCATTTTGTCCTCTGTGTTAAGGTACACTCTGAGTATCCTGGAAGATATTGGTGGTGGACAGAAGGTCAATGACGACCTCATTGTCAACTGGGTAAATGAAACACTGACTGAAGCTGGAAAAAGTTCAGTCATCAGTAGTTTCAAGGTACAGTATTTCATGATAAGTCTCTGTTTTGGGACCCCGGGTGGGTACATGTGTGTACTGTTGTTTATTTTTCACTGCATTTTCAAGGGATGTTCAGATCTGGGGGTTCGGTTGAGGCTCATCTCTAATTCAAGCAGTAAAAGCTTTTTTTAAAATTACTGCATTTATGACATTCAAAAGCTGAAGTGTTGTACCCTGCTTGGATCCATCCCAAAGGCACCTTTATGCTAAGTGAGGTGATAATGAGAGTTTTAATCTCTGCCAGTCATGGTCAGCCTCACACAGCTGGAAAGTCACTTCATCAGTGAATGGGGTTGTAGTGAGCCAGTGAATGGGTAATGTCTTGTGCAGACCTTCCATCTGCCCTGTGCGGACATGGGCTGGGGGCTGCTCTCAGGCCACCCAATCCCAGGCAGGTGGAGGGTCCCTGGCTCCCCCCACAGCTGCCCGGACTCTCTGGGCCACTCTTACCCTGGCTGGGGGCGGGGTCTCAGGGGGAAGAAGAAGGGCAGAGGGCTTGCCTCCCCGTTCTGGCACCTCTGCTATAGATATAATAACATTGTGACACATATATTGCAATGCAGCAGCAAGATAACCATGCCAGGGTTATTGTGTGGCCATTGCAGCTCCTTTTGACTCCATGTCACCTTTCTCTTCTTCTGCCCACCTCCTGGCTGATTGGAGGGACAAGGTGGAATCCTGGTGACTCATTCCATGTCTCACCACCCGCTGTGCTGCTTGTTGCAAAGTTCTAAACAGTATGTCATTTGAATGACCCATCCACTGTCCTTGAGCCATGATTATGGCTTTGTAGGACATCTGTCAATCTGTGTTTATATCGAACTGTATTTTCCCTCTGTGCAGGACAGCAAAATCAGCACAAGCATGCCAGTCCTGGATCTCATTGATGCCATTCAGCCAGGTTCCATCAAATACGACCTTCTGAAAACAGAGGACTTGAATGAGGAAGAGAAACTTAATAATGCTAAGTATGTGCATGCCATGGGACACTAGGGTTACATTACACTGTTTGTTCTTTTTGGAAAAAAAAAACTAATCACACTGTCTGCTTTTAATGTATATTTCATCTCCCCCTCCCAACTGTTCTGTTCCTTTCACTGCTTCCTGCACCTGTCTTTCTTCACATGGCTCCTTTCTCCCCCTCTCCTCATGCTCATGTTTCCCTGTTACCTACTTCTCTTCTCCTTCACATGCGTCCTGGCTGTTTAGTTCCTTTCTCCTCTGCTGCCCTCAACATATTGCCCCAGCCCTTTCTCACTCTGGTGGCTGGCAGCTCCAGTCCCACTGGTGAATCCAGGCCGTGAGAGCAGCTCCTGTTTGCTATCCCCCTCCTCTGTAGCAGCACCCCGGTAAAGGCAGCTAGGTTGGCTCTTCCTTCTTGCCTCCGGCTGATTTGTAGGTTTATATTCTTTGTGGTGAAGTGCCTAGACACCAGTAGCAGTGACTGGAAAGACAGGTGAGAGCCAGCACCATCTGACCAGCCTCTTCTCTGCAGGTCACCAGTGCTCCTATGGGCCTCAGGATGGGAACTGCTATACTACAGGAGTGGACTTAATCACAGATATATTTCCATTTTAAAACAAAATACCTGAAATTCAGCACTTCCTTTCCTGATCTGTCAAGTCTCTTCACCAAAGGAAAACTCCAGCTGGCAATAAAGGACCTATGCAGCCTCACTGAAGTCAAAGTGATTGCAGCAGGCATAAATCAGGGAAGGGACTGGCTGAGAGTTTTTCTCTTTATGTAGCATTAATAAACTTTACTTATTTAAAACAGGAACCAAAAAGTATTCTAGGAATATCACCCTCACCTCTGACTCCTTCCTCTCACAATAGATGTGTGCTTTGCTATCTCCTGTCCTTTAACCCCACCTATAACTACTGCCTAATGGATTCACTTCTTCCCTAGTGTTTGGAGGCACTCAGATATGATAGTGATGGGGGGCCATAATAGTCCGTAGATAGAGAGAAGCTTATTGAATACCCTGTCTTCAATTGTTGCCTCACGTACCTCTAACTCCATCTTCAGTCCTTTCTGGTTTGGCTTCCAGCCTCTCTGCTCCACTGAAACGGCTCATACCTCGGTCTCTAACCTGTTCCTTGCCAAATCTCAGGGTCCCAAGGCCATTCTCATCTTCTTTGACCTGTCCTGCTGCTTTTGACACTGCAGATCATTCTCTCCTGCTTCCCAGCTTATCCTCCCTTGACTTTTCCAACACTTGTTCTCCCTGGCCATTCTTTTTGCATTTCTTCTGGTGTATCATCTTCCTCCCTTCTGCTACATCCCATGTGAGTCCCACAGGTCTCTGTTCCCTCCTCTTCTCACTCTACCTTCTATATCTGGGTGAACTTATCAACTCATAACACTTTACTACTATCCATATGCCAACACCTCACAAATCTACCTTTCTACTTCTGGTCTGTCTCCATCCGTCTAATCTTGAATCTTGGCTTCACCCTCCAACATCTGGATCTGGACATCTTGCCACCACCTTAAATTTAATTATCAGAGGGGTAGCCATGTTAGTCTGGATCTGTAAAAAGCGACAACAAGTCCTGTGGCACCTTATAGACTAACAGATGTATTGGAACATAAGCTTTCGTGGGTGAATACCCACTTCGTCAGATGCATGCTTATGCTTCAATAGGTCTGTTAGTCTATAAGGTGCCACAGGACTCTTTGTCGCTTAAATTTAATATAGTTCAAACCAAACTCATGATCTTTCATCTGAAACCTTGTGCACTCCCCCATTCTCTGTCACTGTTGAACTCACCTCCAATCTACTGTTTATCTGTATGAAGCACAAGAAGTTGTTAAACAAATTGATTACTAAGGTTGCTTCTTACATTTTTTTTTTCATTTTCCCCCCCAATGTAGATATGCCATCTCCATGGCAAGAAAAATTGGAGCAAGAGTCTATGCCCTTCCAGAAGACCTGGTTGAAGTAAAACCCAAAATGGTCATGACTGTGTTTGCTTGCCTTATGGGAAAAGGAATGAAGAAAGTTTAAGCCATAAAAGACTGATACTCATGACTGGTATATGCCCCCTGACTCCCTCAGACCGGATGTTCCTCAGACTCAGATATCAAGGAAATATGCAGTCTTGGTACTTTCCAAAGCATGGATGCTAGACAAGGTTCCAAATCTTACAAAAGATGACATGCATATCCAGCAAAACCATCTACCATGTTCTGTATGGAACAGCAATGTGCTTGATTTCTTTGCCACATTATCCCCTTTGCTAGATGTAGCCTTTTCTGCTTCCTGAATATGTTTCCAAACAACACGAGCTTTACATGTGCTGATATTAATGGCTGTCCAGGTCATTGTCTGGAGATCACCTGGCATTTTTGTTTTGGGAGCAGGATTAGGTTATACACCTTTTTCAGGATTGTGAAATGTTACATTAACTCTCTTATAGGTGTTCATGCTTGTGACATTTACGCTATGCTTTCCTTCAGCTTGTACCTGGAACTACAAAAGAGATTTCCTTAAGCCAATGCAGGTACTGCATAGTGTCCTTATCAGTGTTTATTTTTCTGTGATAGTAAAATCCACTCTGTTGGGAAACTCTTGTGGCAACAAAAGTGCTAATTAAGGACCCTATTGTGGCACCCTTATTCAGACTAAGTAGTACTTTACACCGGGAGTAGTCCCAGTGCTATCAGTGGCATTACTTGCAGAATATGACATTAATCATTGAATAAAAGTCTGGCCCTCAGAGCATCCTAATTCTGTGAGACCTTCACAGCCCATGTTGTGCAAGATGATCATTCATTTTTATTTCATGACATGCTTTAAAACAAAGCAAGAACATCCTTAAAATGAAATCTATGCTAAAGAACTTAAGGAGAGGTCTACTCACGTAGTAGCAACAATACAGCTGGGACCAGAGTGAAGTGAACATAAGGCCACATAGTGACAGATTTATTTATCAAACAATAATTCAGCCCTGCTAACAACTTTGAACAGGCTTGCAGACAGTACAAGGTATGCTACTGAACACACAAGGGGCCAGGGCCCTGATTAAGCAAGGCAATTCAGCATGTACTTATCTTAATTAGGCACATGCTTAAGTGCTTTACGGAATTGGGGCCCATTTCCTCAACTGGGGTAAAAAAGCATAGCTCACATTGACTTCAACATAGCTCTGTCAGTTTACTCTAGCTGAGGATCTAGCCCTATCTGTTTAGAATAAATGAAATACATTGCACTGAATCTATTCTTTGGCATGTGGTATTCATTGTTATGCTCATTAAGCGCATTCTACTGTAGTTCAAATGCAAAAGAAGTGAGTTTTGCCTTAATGCACATTCTTTCCTCCTGCAAAATTGCCTTAATGAAGAATAAATATACAGTGATGAGAAAAGCCTCTCTAAATAAAACATTCTATAAGTCAAAATTTAAGACTTTTCCTTTCAGTGATATATGTGCTAATGATGTGATAAGTACTGTATGCTTGTACAACTGACACATACAGATTTTAAAACAAACTCATGGGACTCAATATATGTAGACTTGTATGCTGGACTTGTACATTATATAATCCACCACTCCGTATCACCGCACTTTATGGACACTAGCCATCAACATTAACTTTACTGCTTTATTTGTTTTGTAATGGAAATATGCTGTTGGGTGTACAATATTGATTAGAAAGGCTAGATTCTGCCACCCATATTCATCTTGAGTAGTAACTTGCTCCTGACCAGATTCTGCTCCCTTACTTGTATTGAGTAATACCTTACTCTCTGAGTGGTCCCAGTGACTTCAGTGAGACGGTTTGCATGGAAAGGCATGGAGTAAGGATAGCAGAATCTGGCCCTTTGTGTTTAGTTCTTTTGATTGAAAAGGGAATGCTGATGGAATCAAGTGCAACTCAATGTGAGTAGGGGTTGCAGAATCTGGCCCTAACTGTGTACTAAAGATTTTGAAAGGAATATAATCCCATGGTACATTTAATTATGTCATTATATATCCCATCGTGTGATGTGTTGGTAGAGCAGAAGAACTTTTTTTATGATTGATTGGCATTATAAAAAATCACTGATTCTCGAACCCAGGTCCACAGGCAACCCTGATAGCCCAGCTGTGATCCAGCAGCATGCTAGTAGCTGCTAGGCTGAGTGGTTAATGGAGCCTAGACCCACCAGAGGCACCACCCCCAGGAGTCCTGACTGGAGGAGTGCGTGCTTCCACGGATGGGTCTGGCTCTGCTATGTAAGCCAGAAAGAGGCACAGGAAGTTGTCTGGGCAACTGGGTGAGTTCCTGGCTGGCTGCTACACTGAACACTGCCTTCTCACCTGACTCCTGAGCCCTGATTCCCTGACTGGTTCTTGCCTTCTTGCTGTGTTCCTGATCCCTGCCCCTGTTCTTACACTCCAGCTCTGACCCTAGGCCCTGGTATTCAGCCTCTGACTCCAGTTCTGACCTTTGGCTCTGATTCCAGCTTGATCCTTGACTCTGGTCTCTGGTGTCTGCCTCTGGTTCTGACCCTAGGCTCTGTTTTCTGGCTCCTGACTCCTGCTCTGACCACTAGGTCAGACTGTCCACATTCTGATCCCTAACAGTTTGCATGGACCTGTAGCCTCCCAGGGTTGACTCTTCTGGGAAAGATGCAAGCAGAAGAGCTCTCCCACTACACGCGTGCCAGAATCACCAAAGCAGGAAGCCTGCCAGCAGGCAGACAACCAAGCGATGCAGACCCAAATTACACAGCTAGCAACCGAGAACCAGATGTTACAGGAACAAGTACTTCAGCTTTGCACTGAGAAATTTGCACTTTGGACCTGGCCTGCAGCATTGCCCTTTGATCCAAGACCTGTGATTCCGCTGCCAGAACCATCAGAGAGTCCAAGGTTTCATGAACCACTGCTGCTTCCTGTTCCTACTTCACCTGCAAGTTTACTTTTCCAATGAGGCCAAGGTAGGCCTGGTAATTAGCCTGTTGACTGGGGAAGCATTGGCCTAGGCCTTCCATTTACTAGAGATGACAGTCTAGTACAAGCCAACTGGAATGCCTTCCTAGGGTCGAGCTTGACTATCTTTGACAACCCCTATCGTGGCTCCTCGGCCAAGTCTTCCCTATGAAAACTCCAGTGAGGGCAAGGCACAGCTGCCTCCCCCTACGTGGTGCATTTCTGTCAACTCATATCAGACACTGGGTGGAACAAAGTGGCCCAGCTGTAACAAATCCGATGAGGCCTAAAGAGGAGGTTAAGGACAAGCTGGCTCAAGTAGAAACCCAACAGGTGTGGATGCCTTCATTGACCTCGCTATTTAGATCGACAATTGTTTATGTGAGCGGCAGGAAAAGAGGGTTGTCACAGCCACCTAGCCAATGGCCCCTGCTGTTAAACCCTGCTCAGCACACTGCGCTGATGCCAGTAGACCAGGCTTGTCGATAACTTAACCTTGAGGGAAAGGAACAATGATGACACCTCAACCTTTGCTTCTAGGCCACCCCATCTCAGAAACTCATAGACTTTTAGGCCAGAAGGGACCATCATGATCATCTAGTCTAACCTCCTGCACATTGCAGGCTGCAGAACCTCACCCATCCACTCCTCCAATAGGCCCATAATCTCTGGCTGAGTTACTTGAAGTCTTCAAAACTTGATTTAAAGATTTAATGTTACAGAGAATACACCATTTACTCTAGTTCAAAGCATGGCCCATGCAGCAGAGTACAGTGACCCTCTTCCTCCCTTTCCAGGTCTCTCCATCTGCCTTATTCAGAACCCAGCCCAAAAGGAGACAGGAAACAAGCTGGCCAAGGCTTGGTAAGTGAGGGCTGGCTTGGGCATCACAACAGTGTATACCATCAAGTCTCCAGCCCCAGTCTTGATCAGAACACGTACTGGGTCCTGCCAGTTGACTCCAGGCCTTCAAGTACTGACCTGATTACATATTTCTGGACAGTCCAGATGTCTTCCTGTGCAGTGGGCCCTCATTGACACACGTGCAGCTGATAACTTTATGGATATGTTGATAGCCCCAGTCTGCCCTGGACCTGGGAGACATAACTGATGGGTGCCACCTATCCTCAGGGCTGCTGAGCATAGAAACTGTATCTTTCGAGGTTCAGCACTGGGAAATGCTGCAATTTCATGTGATCCACTCACAGTACTTTCTCCTGAGCCTAGGCATCTTCTGGCCGACCCTCCACAACCCTCTTGTCCATTGGCAGGAGCAAAGGGTCAGTTTTCTCTCAGAACTTTGCCAACAGCATTGCCTTGTTAAAGAAGGTGTGGGGTCATGTACCTCTCCTTGGTGGGACTCCAATGGAGGTGACTGCCCTGCCAGGTCTGTCGCTGATTCTGCACCCTAACTCCCTTTTAAATATAGTGACTTTGCTGATGTATTCAAAAAGAAAAACGCTGATTCCCTGTCTCCACAAGTGCCTTATAGACTTGCAACCAGGGGTGAAGATTCTGTTCGACCACGTTTATGCCAGGTCAGAGCCTGAGTTGGTCATTCTATGCAGGTATCTCCAGGAGAACTTGTTTGTCTGTCCACCTTGCTCACCAGGGCACCTGTCCTCTTTTTAAAAAAAACAAAAGCAAACATAAAGATGGCCATCTCTGCCTCTGTTTTGAACCAGATAACTATAAGGAATAGATACCCTTCTACTCCTGCACCCCAAACTGTTGGGTCATGTGGGGACCACTTGAATATTCATGGAACTGGACCTCCAGAGAGCATATAACCTCATATGTATCAGAGTGGGAGATGGGTGGAAGCAGGGGCGGCTCTATGTATTTTGCCGCCCCAAGCACGGCAGTCAGGCGGCTTTCGGCGGCATGCCTGCAGGAGGTCCGCCAGTCTCGCGGTTTCGGCAGCAATTCGGCGGTGGGTATGCCGAAGGCGCGGGACCGGCGGACCTCCCACAGGCATGCTGCCAAAGGCAGCCTGACTGCTGCCCTCACGGCGACCGGCAGGCCGCCCCCCACAGCTTGCCACCCCTGGGTGGAAGACCTCTTTTTGGAACCGCTACAGCCATTTCAAGTACCTCATAATGCCATTCAGTCTAATGAACTCCCCTGCCACATTCCAAAATCTCATCAATTATGTATTTCTGGACATCCTGGACCAGTATGTGGTAGTATGTTATGATGATATACTTGTTTACTTGGACTGTCCTGAGCAATATACCATACATGTCTG